CCTCGTCGTGGACTAGTTGTTTTAATTTGTCTCTGAACATTTTCGTGTTCCATGCTGGGTTGTTACGTTTTGCTTCCTTGATTTCTTTTAGCATTGAATAATTTAATTTGTCCTCCAAAGAGGAACAAATAATAGGATTATTTAACTCAGCTCCGAGAGCTTCGAGTTGTCTGCAAATTAATTCAATTTCAAGTTGAAATTGTCGGACGTCTGAAAACGACCAACAGGGTTTTAGAGCAAGGAATTGTTGAATCAGGTCGTCGGTGATTGCTTCCTTGTCATCATATTTCTCTTTCAGCATGTCCAATGCAATATTATAGTTATCGGCCGAAGGCCTAAAATAACGTACAAGATTAAATGCTTCTCCTTCCAGAAGTCCCAAAAGGTGATTGAACTTGTAAATAGGTTCAATATTCGAATTTCCTATCGTTGCATTAAAAGATTCAATAAACTCACGCCAATGTCGAATGTTGCCTGAGAATTTCTTTGGTGAAGACAGAATAGGAAGAGAGACTGTTTGCACAGTTTGATTCAGTGTTTGGTACGTTTGGTTCATGCTTCGATTCAAAATTGATGTGGAATTACTCCCCTTACATGTTGATTCTAATACGACTTCTCTTGCTGTAAATTTACCTATAAGCCCCATTAAACATCTTCTTGCCTCCAAGGCTTTAGTCATAATAACTTCACACTGATAATCTTCTTGGTCTTTATCGTAGATTCTAGACACACGAACTTTATCTGTCTCCGTTGCTTGAGAAAGGACAGAAGCCCATTCCTCGTCTATCTTATTCATTGCTGCCATAACATCTTCGAGTTCTTCGAGGTGACCTCGAAGAACAACTAATGTTGATTTAATTTCTGCAAGTTCATTTATGTTGTCTTTTTGTTCTGGTAAAGCTGGCATTGATTGTGCCAACAATGAGTGGAGTGTTGTAGCTGCCTTCCTTGTTCGGTTGCTGAGTACGTTGGTCATTTGTAGTTAATTTAAATACCAATTGTTATCTTAAATTTAGTAATTTAAATTAAAATTTTATTATATTTTAGAGCAAGTCGCGTTAAAATAAATAGAAAGAGGAGAGCGAATAGCGCAGGAGAGAGCAGAAAGCGGAATGCGAATAGCGCAAGAGCGAAAGGAGAGGCGAATAGCGCAAGTGCATTATGCGGGATGCGAATAGCGCAAGAGCGTGAAGCGGTTGGGCGCAGAGGCGCGGATTGGGACCCTATGAGTTATTTTATAAAGCGGGCAAGAAGCGGATAGGCGCAGATAGCGCGAGTTGGGCACCCAATATAGAGAAGCTAGCTAACAAAGAAAGATGTATAGAAGAGTAGAGATGAATGAATAATTGTTGAGTGTTTGGTAAATTTGAGCCTAACCATTAAAAGATAAATAAAATTTATTTATTGTTGTTCGCTCTAAGACGATCAACTATGTGTTGTAATTTATGAGAGCAATGTTGTTATACTTAGTATAAACAACGAGCGCGCTTGGGAACAGAAAACAATTTAAAATTGAAAGAATGCTTTAGTGTTGATAGAAGGATGATGAGAAAACGGAAGTGGACAACAGAAATAAATAATATATATTTATTAGAGAGAAGATTAAAAGGTGTAAAGAGTGGGAAAGGGGATAAAAATGAAGAGAGACTTTGGTTGTCGCGTTGTATGTTGTCCACGTGAATTGCTTTTGACTCTACCAACATCTGACAAAAATGTTGAGGCTCAGAAGAGTCTCAACTATTATAAATTATTAAAATTTATTTTGAAATTAAGTGTCATGTCCAGAAGGATCCTGACAGAAATTTTAATTTTTAAAATTTAATATTATTGAATTTTTAATTTTTAATAAATTAAAATTTGTTTTACGTATTCCAAGTCGGTTAAGTGCACGCTAAACAATTGTCGGTAGAGCCATAAATTTATGTAGTAGCAGAGTTGAGCAGCAGTGTAATTATGGGTCGTTTGAGTATCAGAGCCTAATTTAGTCGCAGTAGAGCAAAGCAGCAACAAAATTGTTGTTGAGTAGATTTATTAGATTTATTGTTGTTGTGCTTTTTGAGACAGTAACTAGGTTGTGATAATAAAAACAGAAGGTTGTCGATGAGAACTCCACAGAGACCTCTATTAGATTTATTGTTGTTGTCTTTTAGAGACAGTAACTTGGTAGGAATAATAAATAAATAACTATATTTATTATTGTCATTGTAGAAGTATTTGTAGCAGAGAAGTTCACGAAAAGACCTGAAGTGAATACTCAAAGAGTAATTCACATAAATGGAATAAGTTAAGTCACTAAGTGAGCTTAACATTAAAATTTTTATTTGTTTAAATTAAATTTCTTAAAGAAAAAATTTTTTTTTTTGGAATTTATAATAAATTTAAATTTGCCTCACTTAGCTCAATCAGTGTGTAAGAAGCGCCCAAAGTCGAATTTCGGCAGATCCATAAAAATATGTAGTAGTTCAAATTGGGCAACAGCCGAGTTATTATATCCCATTCGTGCATCTGAGCCTAATGTAGTCGCATTAGTCAATTTGCTAAATTTATTGTTGTTGTCTCTAAGAGACAGTAACGTTGTTGAATAATAAAGCCGAGGGTTGTCGTCAAAAATCCACAGAGACAATTCACGTTAAATGAAATAAGTTAAGTCACTAAGTGATCTTAACATTAGATTTTTATTTTTTAACTTTAAATTCTTAAAGAAAATTTTAATATAATTTTTGAAATTTATATTAAATTAAACTTTGCCTCAATTCCTAACGAGTCCATAATATTTCGGAAGAAGTTGCTTGAATTGTTGAACATCCACCCAGTAATGTAAAGTTGAAGTAGTTTGTCCAGGATCCGTCAAATGTAGTTAATTTTTATGAATGTTAATTAGTAATCCTGTCTGGGTCGCCATGTGTCGCAGACCCGAGGGCCTGCGACGTAAGTTTGGCAAGATGCCGCCAAAGATGAGTAGACGTTGGATCCAGGAAATTGGCCTTTTCGTTTTGCCGGGCTTGCTGGTGCCTATGAGTCGGGGAGAACCCCTAAACTCGGGAATTTAGTCGTTGAGGCTACCTAAAATTAAATAATTGGGCGGGAGGACTCGTTATAATAATTGAAGTACTTAATAATTAATTACTAATATTAATTCAAAAATAAGTAAATAGTTTATTTAAATTAAATAAAATACAGATAAATTAAAAGCATAAATTAAAAAATATAAATTTATTTACAAAGGGAAGGGACAAGAAAAAGGGAAGGGAGGAAAGGGAAAATTAATTGTGAATCACATTATTTCCTCCTATTAATGATTCCTTGTGAAGAGTCTTCTTTTCTTTAAATAGACCAGGCCAGAGCATGCAGAGTATTCGCGGCTCTGTGCATTTCCCCCATTGAGCAAAGGTCGCTTCTCAGAGAGTGAGCGACATAGCCTGTTGATTAGAAGAGCCATTTGATCACCAGTTGAATTAAAGTCGTTAACTCTGAGAGTTTCGACATAGCGGAAGTTAATCCATTACTAGAAAGGTTAATAGTCACAAACTCTGAGAGATGTGACAAGACCATAAAACTTTCCATAAATGTTTGTATGGGAAAGTCAATCGCTCGAAGAGAGATTGACAATATTTATTGTAGTCTAGCAGGAGTATTTCACGACAAAATCTCCTTTTCTGAAGGTGGGGGACCGGGTATAGTGTATCAAACATACGGGGGAAACTTATTCCCATAAGCCTCTATTACAATCAGGGAAAGGAAATATTATTTCCCAATAAAGCAAGTGCTTTCATTGTCGGGTCTCCGACAAGTTTCGTCAGAGGCTCTTCTCGTCAGAGGTCAATTTCGTCAGAGGGTTGTTTCGTCAGAGATGAGTTTCGTCAGAGGTCCTTTTCGTCAGTAAGGCTCCCTTTTCAAAAATCTAATTAAGCGTCGGTGTTATGACTTATGCTAGGTTATTTGTTTCTGGGTCGATTTAGACAAATGAGGTGTCTTTCGAAAGAGCTCTGAAAGAGATTTTTGTGGTGAAAAATTCGAGTATACAAATGCAGCTCATTCGAGTCAGCTCGGCGGGCTGACTCCTGCTCGACGAGGTGATACCTCCCTTGCTTTTTCAGTATTCAGGAGTCTTTAATTCGGTCCCGGAATGTCGTATCAACTTCTTCCACAACTAATTCGACTCAGTTTTTAGAGCTCTTTCGAATGATACCTCATTTATCCAAATCGATCCAGAAACAAATAACCTAGTATGTGTCATAATACCGCCGTTTTATTAGATTTTTAAAAAGGGAGCATTACTGACGAAAAGGACCTCTGACGAAACTCATCTTTGACGAAACAACCCTCTGACGAAACTGTCCTCTGACGAGAATGACCTCTGTCGAAACTAATTCTGACGAAAATGTCCTCTGACGAAACTAACCTCTGACGAAACTACAGAATCCGAAAAATAGTAATCTATAAAGGATCGTATCGTAAATAGAAGGTGTTTTGTGAGGTTTAATTGTCACACTTTAATCACTTTTTTGTTTTTGCTCATAAATATGAGATTTTGCTCCTTAGTAAATATACATATTAATTAATAATTATTTATAAGAATATAAATTTTGATTGTAAATATGTTGTGGCCCAATACAATTTTTATATTTTTGGATATCAGTGTTATGTATAAACTGATAAATTAATTGGTAGAGTGAGATAATAATTAATTAAGAACTTATAACCAAGGCAAGGCAAATTTTTAAAAAATCAAAAAGTTTGTTAAAGGCAAAGAAGCCAAAAATACCTAGATGTCTCCTAAAAGTTGATATCATTATCAGATACATACCTATTTTCTGAAAAAATAGTATCCTAAATGTGCGTGATTGGGGAAGTTCGACAGTCAACTTTAATCAATCTCGTGTTATATGGTACAAAACCTAAACCTCCTTGAATAAACCTGAGATAGAAAAAACAACAAATTCACTTTTTAAGGGACTTTAAGAGGCATGAGTCAAACTAAAAAACTTTTTTTAACTGACCCTCTCGATCTGTAATTTCTCTACAGCAACTGTCAAACCAACATGTTGAGTATTATGATTGTTTTCAGTATAAATACGGCCATCAGCAAATGGTCGTTGTAAATTAGTTAAAGAAGAACAACAAATAATAGCACTCATTGCGTTGAGGGCTGAACCTACTATTCCACTGCCTTTAAAAAATATGGGGAAATTTTTGTTAATTTTTATCAATAGATTTTTATTTTATGAACAAAATGCCAAAAAATAAATAGTAAAATTTTGCAAATTATTTAGGTTTCCATTTTTGGTGGGCATCATATTCCGATCCTATGTCCTCTTAAAAATAAACTCACGAAGAAGCTTATGGATTAGAACACAAAATTTAAGCTTACGACAAGGTTACTCTTAAAGCAGTTAAACATTATTACTCCTTATTTTAATAATTAATAAAATATATTTAAAAATGGAAATTCTTGTCTTTAATTCTTCTTCTTACGTGTAGCTAGCTTATATTTTTGGATATCGGTTTTAAAAACTGATAATTAAGTTAAAATATTGCTACGTAAACAGAGGCAATTGACATTGCGTTAAACACGGAAAAATTTTTAAAAATGAAAAAACGCATTATGATACACGACTACAGACCAATTTACTTAGAATCTTAGTCATTATGTGCATATTAATAAATTGAGGCCTATAATTTAAAACGAATAATGACAAGTATATTGAAACAATTTACAATTAGACAATGAGGAAATTATAAATTTTTTAAAATTATAGGCTAGAGCCAGTATGGCAAGAGCCTCTGGTCTTTATGAACTCAGACTATTAAGAAATGCAGTCTGAGCCAGTTTAGGCATACTCGATTAATTCCCCAGGTTAAATATTGTTCCAAACTTTTGTTTGAAGCAGTGGAGTTCTAAAAATTCATATGTATGTTACCCGGGTTTCGGCTGTTAAAAATTTTTAATTTTGATACTCGGTTTCGATTTACATCTAAATACGGTTTTATTATTTGAGAAATTTTTATAAAATAATTATCAGTAATTTTCATAATAAAATTTAAAAATATGCATAAATAATGAAAAATTCCAAAATTTTTCAGTATCTAAACAGAGTAGGGTCGTAATCGAAAATTTTTTCTGTAATCGAAATTAGTCCTCAAAAACACAGTAATTCGTAATTAGGACGCAACTCTAGATCTAAACCGGTATTGAACTACCCTAATTAGACAAATAATTCTGATTAATTCCCTTCGTTAAGGCTAGATATATTTTTAAATCTAGAGGAGTAGAAACATAATCTCAATCTTGAAATAAAAAAAAATAAAAATAATAAACAGCTAAAAATCAATTAAAATTAAGAGTCGCAAGATTAATAAAATTCTCACAAATTTATAAAAATAATTGGCTTAATCGTCACTTTCTAAAATTTTAATGAATTTAAGTGGCTAGTTTCCTTGGCAGCGAAATTTTCTTTAAAAACAAATGTTTATTTATTTGAAATTCTTAAACTAATTTCATTGGCTTGAAATTGGCACGCAAACATGTTAATTTTAATAAAGTTTAAAGGGTATAATTTTAAAGGCCAAAATGAGTTACTTAACAATAAAAAAATGAATGATAGAAGGAAAATAAGATTAATTCCGAAATAATTGGTATTGCTTGACAAAGATGCTTGACCGACATTATGTATGTATATAACTGAGGTAACTAATGTGTGTGTGTGACTGCGTCAGAGGTGTCGGAATCGAAAAAGCGAAAATCGTAACTGGTTCAAAAGTCGGAAATCGAAAATCAAAATTTTTTTTGGAAGTCGGAAATCGTAAGGAAAAATTCCAATCCACCTTCGGTGAGCCAGTATACGGCTGCTTCGGTCATGTTTATGGAATATCTAGAGGATAATGAAAGATGTATACTCACAGAGTGCATAAAAATTTATGAGACCATGTATCATAGATCATTACCCTTAAAATGAAAAATGCTCTTATATCGGAAAATCTTGATACCTAAACGGCATGTTATGACGAAGAAATAATTTGAATTTTACTCGATAAATGTTACATTTGCGCATCTTAGTAGTAAGCGTCTTATTCCGTTTTCTAGTTGCTTTAAGCTATGGTTAATTTAAACACTATGCTGCTAAATTAGTAATAATTGGGTCTATTTTAGCTCGTTTTGGAAAATTCTTACGTATAAATTTAAAAAAATGTGGGTAATTTTACTGATTTACACAAATTTAACCAAAATTATCCAAAATCGATTATACGGGTTCAAAAGACCAATCTGCCTTTACTTGGAACAAATAAAAAATATATTTTTTATTTGTGTCTTTATTGGTATCTAATTTCCAAAAATAATTGTTTCAATTAAATTTAAAATTTTTAACGTTTAAAAGCTATAATTTAAATTTTATTTGCTTTAATTAATTCAATTTAAATAAAAAATTAAAAAAAATTTTTCCACCTGCAGCTATCAGACCATTCCCGTTATTATTACCGCCACCGTCGCCCTCAAAAAAATTTTGACGACGTTGCGGTGGCAGCTGATGCTGAGCGTTTTCTATCCTGTTTGTAATGTTTGCGCAGATGGTTATTTGTTCGGTACCAATTATTTCGTTTGCAATTTTTGAGGAAGCTTTTGAATAATATATACTGGCAATTTTTATTATATATTATATTAAGTAATTTATTATTATATTATATGAAGTAAAATATTAATAAAAATTTTTATTTTATTAATTTGTAGTTTATTTATTAGGTCTAAAGTATATTCTGTGAAAATGGAAGAAAATAAAAGTGAGGCAGAACTTTAATTATAGGCTTTGAGATTTTTAATAAATTTCAAATGGATTCCCAGATATTCAAAGGAAAATTCAAAGGAAATTTTCTAATTTGAATAAAGTTATTGTAAAGCATATAGCTATTAATTTCCTAAGGCTGTGCAGTAGGCGGCGTGGTGTAAAGGCTAACACATGAGTCCGCTCTACTGAAGATGATTTTTCGTCCCAGCCTCAGAATCCTTACTTTATGCCAAAAATAAAGTGCCCGATTACTCTTGAGTCATGCTACAGACTATAAACATTGCTACAGGTGCTCGAATAAGTTCAAATAGATCATATGTATTTTATGTGCCCGGCATACTTTATTTTCCTACGTATCTTTAACTGATTAACAATAAGCCTAATTAAGCAATTTTAATTCTTTAATCTTTTTTTACTCCTCCGCTTTTAATTTGCCGAGAACGTATTGGATAATTGTAACTACCAAAACACAAATGAGCCCAAAACCCAGAAGATATTATTAAATATAGCACATAATTGATAAAAGATACATTAGGCTTAATTGTCGGGTTCATAATAGATAACCACCAAATTTTTTTACGTATAAACAAAAATAAAATTGAAGATGATAGTTAAACCAACGTTCAATTCTAGTTACAAAAATAGCATCAAATTAATTACATATTTTATTAAAAATAAAAAACAATGGTTAAGCTAAAAATAATGCAGAATATAGTAAAAAATAAGTAATAATTATACCTAGAATTTATAGCTATTTTGTGTTTATTATAAAAAATATTTGAAGGGAAAGTTATAAGACTGAAAAAATGTATAAACCTGGGAAAATCTTAGATTATTTATTGAGTTAATTTTAATAAATTTAAAAATATTTTTTTAATTTTTACTAAACTACTTAGCTAATGAATGAAAAATTAGCCTAATTTGCTCGGAGCGAGCATTAATAATCTTTGGAGCATCTAAACTACCAAAGTGACAAACCTGGCAACATTATTCCTCAGCTGATAGAAAGAGTTGAGTGACTGGGGTGGCATTACCGGACCGAGGTGACAGGACCGGACCTGCTTATCGGTTAACAGGCCTTATGTGTTAACATTAAACCACACGGCCTCACGCATAGCCCTAGGGGTTTATAATTGTTAATAAATCTCTCGCACCTTGGACAGACCCGAACCCGACATACTCTGGCAATGGCGTCCGATAACAGAGCTGTATGATAACAAAGCTCGATGGAAGTTGAAGACTTTTCTAAATCCAGGGCTATCTCTATAAGTTAGGGTTAACCGTGATTAAGACATATGATACCGGATTAAATTAGGAGCTTTTAGTAAAGCTAAAATTTGCTAAGTTCAGCTGAGGCATAGTTGACCGGACTTATGTGTTAGCAGTAAACATCACCGCCTCATGCATAGCCTTAGGAATTGAATAGCTAAATGCTTTACAACCTAATTAATACAAATTATTTATCCGGTGGCTTACAAATTATTTTGTTAACAAAAATATATTAAATGTTATGCTTTATAAAATAAATAGAAAACTAAAGAATGGGAAAATAAAAATAAATAATAATTAAAAATGCTGGTTAAAGCAAACAAGTTTGAAATTATTAAAGCGTAATAGACTCCACCCCTGAGAAAATAAAAATATTAATAACATTAATTGCGCAATCCCGCGTTAAATATTAATTAATAGTTGGCATATAAAGTTCTTTATCCAATTTATTATTAAATGAAATTAAAATAGAGAAGATTAGGTAGAGACTAGAGGGTATTACGCTCATATCCCGTCCCATTATAGGGTATATAAGGTATATCCCTCCCCCTCCCTGTTTGAGTAATTATGGAGAGGGGATACGGGATATGAACAAAGTACTGAATAGGGGTTGCCGTCTTTTTTGATAAGCAACTCACTACTTTAGACTCGCGGAAACGGCACAGCTGAAAGTTCCCTCCTCTAAATAGGGTTGTTGGCGAATTTCTTGCCAAAAATTGACCGTTTTTATTGAAATTTTCCAATTAAAAGTTAATTATCTAAAAATTAGTTATAAACGGATATCTACCTAAAAACAAAATTAAAACCGGGTTTTTAAGAACTTAAATTCACCCAAAACCTAGATTAACTTTAATAACCGGTCGCCAACAACTCTCGTAGTGACTTCCTTAAGATTTGACCAAGAAGATATGTCGTCTAAAATTCCAGTTACAAAATCGAGATGTTGACTATCTTAGAGGTAGGTCTCTAGAATTATTTTATAATGCTGAATAGATAAAAAATATTCAATTCTAAACATTCTAACACCTTCACGAAAACCCGATTTTCTTCATTGTTTCACAACCGACAATTTTTTAGATTTTTTCTAATATTTTACAAAATTAGCTTCTGATAAATTACCTTTGCATATTAAAAACTAAAAGATGGCTAAATGCTAGTTCTGCTAAAAATAAAGCAAAATATGGTTAAAAATAGTTATAATTATACCTTGAATTTCTAACTATTTTGTGTTTATTATAAAAAATTTTGTTGGGGAGAAGGTTGGAAGAGTGGAAAAGCATAAACTTGGGAAAACACTCCTACGAGGGGAGAACATGTGGAGAACATATGAGTGGAGAACATGAAACCTTGCCAAGTTTCTGCTTCGATTCTTACCCTACTAAATTTGATTTGGTAGATTACATTGCTATAAAATTTCAAAATAGTTCCTAAAACTTATTTATTAAAAATTTTTTTAAAAACATAATAAAAAAAAATCAAATCATAAGACAATAAGCATGCAGTTGTTTACGTGTAAGATGAACGTCTATGGAGGGAGGTGAGGGGAGAGAGGGGGAGGAGAGGGGGAGAAGGGACCCATCCATCTCCCCATTTTTATTTTTTCTTTATCCCCTCATCTACCCCCCCCCCCCCCCCCACTCAACCATACATAAAATCAATTACAACAATGGAAATCCTCCTGACATTTATTGGGATTTCAGCTGTTTTAGGTAAGTGTTTTAGACAAACATTGTTTTATTAATTGTCATAAACATCCAAAAAATATATAAAAATAGTATAGCTATCCCTCCGGGAGCTTGCTCAGAAACTTTCTACGAAGCTGAAGCAGGAGCCATGATTTTAGAAGGATAGGGCCTAACCTATCCATCATATGCCGTATTTATTCTTATACATAGAACCTCTGCAAGTTATATTATCCCCCTCCATTTGGGTGGATTTTTGTTCTAATAAAGACTAGTTTGTTCTATAAGAGACTGCTAAACAGCTTCAATTCGACAATTAAAACAGACTAACTTTATAGCGAATTCATCCCAATCGGATGGATTTCATTTTGCAAGTATGGAATTGGTTGGGTTAAAAAATGTAAATTATGTGCCTGTTATATCGCCTGAAGAGCTGAATGAATTTTTTATTGAATTCGGTTAGAATTTTTATAATTTTGGAATTACTAATAATTTTTCAATTTTTCTCAGCGAAAATTCATCCTTTACATAAACTTACATTTAACGAAGCAAATCGAGTTTTACAAGAAATTTCAGATGAAATTAACCATAAAAAGGGCAAGATAAAACTTGATGGAAATGAAATTAATGAGGTAAACTTTACTGTTTGAGGGGGGAATTAATATGTGGGTAATTAATCTTGCTTACCACTTAAGGGGACAATTAATCTAGGGAACAAGTTTTTGATGTTTGTAATTTGGAAGTTTGTTAGGGCGTTTAGTGGGGGAACTATTGTTTCAGCCTATCGCTGAAACATTAAGCAATAAAAGTTGCGTAATTATTTGAGGGAGGGCAACTAACAAGGGTATCTAATAGAGGGCAACTAATAAAGTGTGTTCTAAATGCCAATACAGGCGGATAACTTTATTCATATTTATTTTTCAAAAATTATAAAATTCCAAAGAAAAGGGGGTCTACTGACAACGTTGGTTAACAATTTGAAAGTTAATTACATGAAACTAAAAAAGGCTTTATATGGCCCTATGCACTATTTTGCCCTAGTTTTACCGTTCTGTATTACCGTTTTTTCTCTAGAATAACCCCAGGGGGTTATTTTTAAAAAATTTTGTGATTTTATAAATGTGTCACGAAATGTTTTTTAGAGCAAAAGCGAGAAAATAGGAAGTTCTTCAAATGGAAAAGATTTAGTGGAGGAAGAATCAGCTTCTAAAAATCACAAAATTTCACCTAAATCGTCTAGTGGCGGGAAAACCAAGTTTCAAACTGAACATGGAAACAAATATGCGAATGAAGCGGAACTTGAAAAATTCATTGAAAACAGAAACAACCTTGAGAAATGCCATCAAATAGTTTTTGTGCTAAAATATTTTGTTTCCAAATTTGCAAAGCATTGCAATACTAAGTGTATTATCTCAAAATTTTTTTGTTGTGATTTTAATGAGGATGAGAAGAATGAAATTTATGACTTTATTAGAGAATTGAACGAAAATTTGTTGCATTCTTGCGAGTTTCTGCGGAAATGGACTTCAGATTTAGCCCGTGATTCTGTGGATTTAAAGTAAGCATATTAAAACAGAAATTAACACTTGAGGATTTAATTAGAGGTTTTCTAGTGTATGGTAAAAAAGTGGAGTGAAGGAAAGAAGGGAAGGTTCAAAGTTTTAAGTTCAAATTGCTATGATATTTAAGTTCAGCTAAAAGTAGGGTTGCGCTCCGAGCCTTCGGGGTTGAAAATGTCGGGGTCCGGGTCGGGCTCAGTCGGGGTAGGGGCGCAACCCTACTATAAAGAGTAACACCCCCCCCCCCACGATGAAGGCCCCCACACCCTCCTATCTCTCCCTGCTTGTGAAGGTCCGTCCATCTTATTATAATTTCAAATGTCTAGGTGGTGATGCCTTATCTTTCTGCCTTATCTATAAATGATAAAGTAGAGTTCCTTCGATTTCGGTAGTGCACATGAACTTGTTGAATTACTTCTCAACACCTAATTTACCATTGGCATTTCTATAGTTAAAATTAGAGTTGATCGAGACGAGACCGATATTCTCGGCTTTTTTCCAATATAGGTCTCGGTTTTTTCATTCTCGGTCTCGAACCCGATACCGATATTCTCGGTTCATTTCTCGGAGAGAAACCATACTGTATCGGTCTCGGTATCGGGTTTTTGAGTATCGGTCAATCTCGGTCTCGGGTTGGCCGATACCAGTATCGTTTTGATCAACTCTAGTTTCAATAAAAAGTGCTTTTTATTTCAGAATAAATGGTGTAACTAAGGCATCAAGTGATCATCTCAAATTAAAGGATGAAATTTCCAAATTATATAAAATTTATACAGACCTCAAAAATATAATTTCGAGTGATGCTCTCCATAAGGAAGCTATAAAAAAGGTATAGAATCTCGTGCGCCTCGAGCATTTGAAAGTTATAAGCTTCACAATTCTCTTTACATGAATCATGGAAGAGTTTCTCCTGATCGCCAAATTGATGAAGAGAAACTGGAGCAACAAACAAAGAATTCTTTATTCAAAAATTTAAATGAAATTGCAAAACAGGCAGGGATTTTAGAAGTCAAAATCGTCAAGCTTATTGAGGATTTGAAGAAGGATAAAGCATTAAACGATAAACATGAAAAAATAGTTTTACCAAATATAATAGATGAGAAAATAGAATTTCTTACTAAGAATGTTAAGGAGATTCTAAAAAATAAGGAGGCAAGAAAAATTAACTTAATAAAGGAGATTAGCAGAAGCTTAGCCATCGGGCAGAATTCGGACGTGCGAACTCCTTGTAGTTATTGCTAGGCGCTTTCGCTCACCATATAGATGAGTATACTACTGAGCTACATGGGCATTGACTAATGCGTCTCTTTGTGCTTTTTAATTCGTTTAACCCCCGTCTGAACGTTTTATAAGCTGCTAATCCTTACATAAGAGCTTGATAAGTAAATTTATGGAGCTTAAAAGCTTGAATCAAAACCTTTTTGTTCTCATAATTGGGGGGGGGGGGTTTCTACACTGGTTTCTACACTCTATATTGACTGACGTTATTCAATTAACTAAAATACTTTTCAAAATATTCTTCAGGATAACAACACTAACAATGACGATCATAAGGACACTAATTACAGTTCAATGTCCACAGAATTGGTACATGACCATGTCAATAAATTTATCGAATCATCCCGTGAATTTGTTGGATATTGCCTTTCAAATCGCTTTGTAGAAGCTTTTAAAGGGAACCATGAAGTTAATATTGGAAAGGAAAAATTTAAAGAGATCCCAAGCAAATACTACGAAAAAAGGATTGCCGAGTATTTTAAAGAGCAAAAATTTGAAATTGGGTAAAATTTAATTAAACTTCTGGATTTATTACCCTCAATTAACTGTGCCTTCCGGCCTAGTAGACTAAGCAGAAATAAAAATCACCTTCGATGGTAGAGGGTCTCTGCGCTTGCTTCAGAGAGCAAGCACTTACCTTAGCGCTTGTTTCTATGATCAATCTCTCGCCATTTTCTGATACGGTTTTTCATTTTCTGTTAAACATCAAGTGATGCCTCGAGAAAAATTAAAGTTTTCTGTTAATTTTAGCCTTAATCAGTTTCTTAGAACAGAAATATTACTTTTAACATCATATTACTTATGAATTTCAAAATTAATTTATTTTTCCAAATGTCAATCAAATAATTAAAAAAATTTTAATAGATTTTATGAAACTACAAAAGAAAGTATCGAGAAAGGCCTAAAAAACATATGCCATGTACCACACCAAGTAGGTAAAAACGACTGCATGGAATTCCTAAATGGTTTGCTTAAGAATTGGAAGGGTTACTGCTCTATTGATACTGATCAATTGATTTTGGAGAGTGTTGAGGAATTTATTCATTCGATGGATAATCATTGAAACTGTACAAAGTTTAGAGTCTGTAAATATTGTATATACAAATTTTGTCGCAAGCCAACTTTGCCGCAGCCTTTTTGCTAGCGACAGTAACCCATAATTCCTCAAATTATTTCCCTTGTTTGTGACAAAGTACCCGCTACATTTACTAAGTTTAATTTATTTTATTTTCAAATTTTGCTGATCATGATGTAAAGCAGGGATTGGCCGGGTACACTAAACTTTTCTGTTTCAACGCAAATCCCTATTCTAAGAAAAGTTACAAAGCTTGATCCTATATCCGTCATTCACATGTAGATGTTTTCTTAAAAAGGAATTTTCTTAAAAAGAAAGAATTTGGCTTCTTGGCCTAGAAGAATTCTCAAAATTTTCGCCTTTTATCCAAATACGAAAGAATCGGCATTTTCTATGATCCGGCCAATCCATGACATAAAGTTGAAACTCGTTACAAGGCAAGAGTGAGACTATAACGAGTATCAACTATTTTTTGAATTTTATTATGTATTTATAAAATTATTTAACCTCATTATTGTAGAGCAAACACTTTTGAATTTTTTAATTTTTTTCGATAAAATTTTCAAAAACAAATAAAATGTGAAATAATAATCAAGACAATGGATTTAAGTATGGAGGTATGTTGTGTATGGGCGTCAGCCCTTAAAGTGATTAGTATAAAAGCCCAGCCAATAGTTAGTTCGGTCTCTCCCAGTTTTAGTTCTTCTGCCTACCTTCATCTTCTTTGTATTTCTTTGTACGATAAACGTTTCTGTTAGCTTCTCTACGTAAGCGGGGTCGTAACAAGGTAGCTAACTAGAGATCAAATATTAAAAACAATGACCTTGATTATTAACTTCGGTAGAGGATCTTGAATCGATTATTGCTCCTGTCAATAATTTTATTGCCTGATCTGAAAAAAATTTCTGCTGGTAAAATCAAGAAACACTGAAGGATGCCTTGATATTATCCTGAATCCAGGAAAAATCAAGGTTTGGATCAGGTTTGTTATGTCCGAGGGTTATCCGATGTTGACGTTCACAAGAGTGAAGTTTATCCGATGTAGAAATGAATGATGTGTAGGCGAAGGGATTGGAGCTGGAACAGAAAGGGAGATCAATGACTAGCCGGTCTAGTATGCTCCAACTAAACTGACGCTTTCACAGGATTTTATAGATATCCTTACTAAGGTTGTCGGATAGTTGGAAACAGACTAGCACACGGATACTGATTTTGTTATCCGTATCCGCATATTTACGGCGGATACAGACGGATATCGCAGGGATTTTTATAATATCTGTATCCATATCCGTATCCATGTGCTAGTCTGTTGGATCTTCGGATATCCGGATCCGATATCCTTATATCCGTCTTTTTTCTGGATCCGGATAAACAACCTTAATCCTTACACCTTTACACAACACAGATCCGTGCTCATCTCTTCATCTCTATAAATTACTATATTAAACTTTAAAACGGAAGTTTTTTCCGATAATTTAATATTCACATAATCAAATCATATCATCTTTCACTGTAATGCCCTTTCCAAACATAAAAGGGCAACTTAACATTCTTGTTTGTATACACTTAAGTGCTTCTTAAAATTGCCCTTTTTCTTTATAAAAATACAATAATTATTTTTATTTTGTCAATAAAAATTTTTAAAAAATTGCCCTTTTTGTCAATAATCATATGCGCAAAGGGCATTTTCATGCGCATTTATAGCTTCGATAGCCTTGCCATTTTTTATCATTTTATAAAAAAATTTTTTCTATCCCCCCAATAATCAATGAAAAAATTTATTTTAATTAAAGAAATTGGGTAAAAAATTTTTTTAAAGTTTTAAAATTAAAGTTAAATAGGTAAGTTATAATTTCCTTGAGACTTTATAATTAAATTTTCAATAGTAACATTCGAAATTCCATAAATTTTTAATTTAAAATTTATAATAAACCTAATAAGCATTATAAAATACAGAGTGAGTGGTTTTTCTGAAATATTTAAATGAGACAACCCCAAGCGTATTAGATACAAATTCCTAGCTAATAATGCAACTATTTGCCTTAATTATTATTTGATTAATAATAGAATTAAGGGGAGGGGGTGGTTGGGATTTTACGAATCCTTTCAGACCCCCATATGGGATTTTACTTTTCCTTTTCTCGGAATACCGGGTTTTAGGCAAAAAAGGGATTCCAATACCCAAGAATCTTTTTTTTAATTCAAGGGATATTCAGCTATGAGTCAAAGGGCCGCCTCTCTTCGCATATTATTAACTCATTCATGAAATTGGGAATCATTTGGGGTTGAGTAATCTCCAAGGAATTATCTATTAAGCATCAACTTTTTTCATATTGTTGAATTATTTAAGACTGTCAAGGCGTTTGAATGTTGCCAGATGTATATTTCTTACATCATCCTTATGAAAATCCAATTCAAAGGGTTTCCCGCATGCGTTGATAAAATTGCGAAATTAGCACTTTAAATACTTACCTAAATTTAAAATTTATTATGAGTGATTTTGAAAAATTTTCTCCTTAATACTTAAATTAATAAAATAAATATCGGATGTTATAAGTGTAAGGAAATTTAATTCAAAGGGTTTCTCGCTCTAGGTGGGGGTTAAAAGAGAAAGTGAAAGCAACACTCGGTAGCTCCGTCGGTAGAGCATATCAGGTTCGAATCCTGGCCAATTTAAGTAAGATGACAGTCCATGAAATATGCCAAAATCCTGATCCAATACTCATACAGAAAAATTTCTAATACCAGATTCTTTTTCGGATCTTTTTCCGGATCCATACCGTCAATAAAATTATATGTAACTTATAGATTTTAAATTTAAATATTTTTTATTCTCCGTCTCTTCAGATTTTACATTGTAAAAATACCTCATTGAATTTCTAAATGAGATTCATTCTTTTATTTTCAAATATTTTTCTTCTGTTAATGTTGTATATTCAAACGAGATTTGTTATAGCTACAACTGAAGGTTGGTTAGCATTGAGGTTTTAGCTCCACTATAAAGTAGTGGAAACTAAATACATACATAAGACTATTTTGTAATATCCTCTCTTTTTCTCTATCTACCTGAGAGGGAGAGAGAAAGAGAGCTAAATTATATTTAGAAATCTGCCTCATGGGTAGAGGAAGAATGGAGGGGATTTTTTTCTCTCACTCTACCCAAGAGGTGAAGAGAGAGGAGACACTCTTCTCTCCCTCATCATGGCCCGCTCCCAAAATTTTACTTCGATTCCACCCATCCTCTTGCTATCAGGAAAACATTTTAAAGCAATAATCATTATCGGTAATCGTTATAGAGAAAGGTTGAACTCGTAAAGTAAGGGTAGTCGCCCTCTTTCTAATAGTCGCCCGTTGGCCACTACTACTAATAGTAAAGATACAGTAATTTCTATATTTCAGAAGATATTGAAATAGCCAAGACCAACCTCCATGTTGATTCGGCTGTCCATAAATGCTTGAAAGATGCATTTGAAACGCTTGTAAAACTTTTTGAAGATGACGTGGGACCTGTGGCTCGTCAAAACCTGGATGAATTGACATCCGCACCTTACACATCAAATAGAATTGGTGGAATTATTCGTCATCTCACCCGCTCATGGTCGCTTAATGAGTCAAGAAGTCAATATTCTGAATCAAAAAGTGCTCCTGCTTCTCCAAGTGGAAGTGCTCCTCCTTCTCCAAGTGGTTCAAGACTTGGAGGCGTTAAACATTACGGCCGTTCTGTTTCGTTCAATGAACCGATGCGGACAACAGCATTAAGTAGTTCCTCTTCTCCTTCCTTACCTTCTTCCCCAAATGTGAGAGGAGGTGTTCTTGGATTTGTGCGACAATTATCTCTAAATGCTACAGGTCAAGCACTCTCACCTAGAGAAAGTGCAAATAAAACTTATAAGCGAATGAGCTCCTTCAAATGGAATGAGGGCTTGATTGTGGCAAATGCAACGGCTTATTTGAGTGTTGAAATCAAAAATTTGAGAGGTTATTGAGGGGAACAGGCCAATGTACCGCGAGCCCAAGGTACGGCAAAGCTATAACCTCGTCAAAATTCTCGAATCCGGCACGCCCTGGGTTCGATTCAACTAGTTGAGATGCATCAACTCACACTAGGGCGTCCCGGATGCGACGATTTTGTACAAAATACCTTGAGCTTGCGGTCCTTGGAGTGTACCCGTCTTGAATACATTCTAAAAATTATCTTTCCTACTTTTCAGAAATTTTGGATAAAATTTATGAAACATTCGAGGATATTCCCGAGGAATTAAAAAACAAAGTTCCCTTCAATTTGAGAGAGGATAATTTTCCATATATTATTAACCGTCAATTAATAACTAATTTGGATACTTGGTTAATGAGATTTAAAGGGAGTTCACAAGAGAATAAGGAATATAATTTGTGTGGTTATTTTTACCTTAATGAAAAAGGGAGGATTCTAGAAGAACTCAATGCACTTTTGGTTGATGAATTCTACAGTGGTTTAAAGGCACAAAATGTTTTTAGGTATCTTAGATATTAATCGTGCTAAAATACTAAGTTTAGAATAGTAAGAATTTAGCAATTCGATCCTGCGACTTTCTCGTAGTTATTGATGGGCTCCGGCGCTAGCTTATGATGCAAAGCTAAACCATGAAAAAGGCCCCTTCGCTCACCCATAAGGTTCTCTACCATTGAGCTCCGAGGGTACAACTAATTCTTTCCCTTTTATCCTTATAGATTCACTAACCCATCCTAAGCGTTTTAAATCCTGCTAGGTGAATCGTACTTTCAAAACTTGCTAAAACTGTAGAAACCCTCTAGGTAATGAATTTTTGAAGATATTTGTGGGCAATTTTTGAATTTTTGATTAAAAACAGTACAATGATGTCTCCGGGGGAAACTAGTACAATGATCTCTTACCATCCAAATAAAAAATATTTCATTAAACTTAAAAAGATTTTTTAGATTCTGGCCATTTAGTCATAAACATATTTACAAAAATGGAAAGGTTGATGATAAGATCAACGATGTAGTTAGAAATATGAGAATATATCTTGGAATTGTTGGAGTTAAAGCTTATCAAATTTATTCGATATATAGTACAGCTACAACTGTGTGCTGCAAACGCTTGTTATATGAAGATTATGATGAAATAATGAATAAAGTATAGTTTAAATTTAATAAATATATACAAAAATAGTGGTGATATTCAACGGTAGAAAACGTGCCATACAAGCTGTAACTTCAGAGTAATCCTAGGGTTGTAACATTTGCACTTTTCAATTCTTCTGTTAAGTCGAGGGTTCCGAGATTTGCCAAGTCGACGAGCACTCGAATAACGTTTAACCTAAGGGTGAATTATAATGTAGTTGAAGGGTTGATGCTTTAATTGTCGAAGGAGATGGAACTGGAACTAAAAAAATTTAAAACCTAGTTCTGGAACTGGAACTAGTTCCAGAGAAATTTTGGAACTTTCCCATCACTGGTGATTAGCAGGCTAGTATGATCCGACTGACTTTAGCTGACACTTACTCTTATACGATAGCAGGCCAATGTCCCGTTGAGCTACAACTTTGTTCAGAATTATCGAATTCTGGACCAGTCCGGGACGCCTTGGTACATCGGGGTGTACCTCCTTTTAATAGAGCTGGGGTCTATATTGTTAAATAAAATTCTTCGTACTTGGGATACAAATTAATTAGTAATATTAACGTCTAGAACAATAATTAATACATAATTTCCCAATTTAGAAGTATAACAACTTTGTAACTCGGCTCGAAAATGCTGTGAAACTACAAGAAACAATCTATGATGCATCATATATGATAGAATATCTACGAGATCACAATATAAAAAATTACCATTACAATAAAAACAACAAATATATAGTCAAGTTACATAATGATTATCATGAGAAGATTCATGATCCGAATTCTGAGACAATAACACCTTTACATCAGATGAAAAAACTTGAGGATATAATTATTGAGGTAAAAATAAATATAGAAAAATTATATGTAACTGAAAACGAAACCTGTTTGAGAAAATTATTATAAGCTTGGTAGTTGAGTAAAATTTTAAGGAGCTTTGTACTATAACTAATTGTAGTTTTATATACAGTCGAATCTCGAAAGAATGAATTTATATGGAAAAAAAAGCTTTATAGGGTGTCTAATCGAGATGTTACTGTTTAATCGGGGGTTACTCTATCGAGGGGTTACTATCGAGGTGTTACTATCGAGGGGCTACAATCGAGGTGTTACTATCGAGGGGCTACTATCGAGGTGTTACTATCGAGGGGCTACTAACGAGGGGTTACTATCGAGGGGCTACTATCGAGGTGTTACTATCGAGGGGCTACTAACGAGGGGTTACTATCGAGGGGCTATTATCGAGGGCTACTATCGAGGGTCTACTATCGAGCCTACTATCGAGGGGTAACTATCGGAGGTCACTTGAAGTTTAGCTGTAGATAAATGAGGCTCGGGTCTTTTAGATAATGTTTCCATTTATTTGTCCTAAGATAATAAGGCCAAATGAGTAATAAGAATATAAAATAACTTCTCATTGAAAAAGTGCGAGCATTGGGGAAATAGCCAGAAAGAACCTGCTCCAGTCCCTCGGAGTTTACTAAATTTTAATTCAAAATTTTATCAATTCACCAGCAAAAAGAAAAAGTCGAATGGCAAGTATGGAATGATATTGCTGATATTTTTCAAGTGGAAGAGAAAATACTTTTAACTCAAACTACAGTAGCCTCCAATCCAGTTACTCCTCAAAGCTCACCTCGGTATTCGCCTAGAGAGCTATCACTCGAGACTAAAGGATTCTCGCCGAAAAGTTTATCGCCCATTGAAAACCGTAATGTATTTCAAAAACACAGGCAACTTCGTTATGATAATTTGGTTAATTTGGAAAAGAATAAGCATCCTGAAGGTGAAATATTAATTTAGCTAACTTTATGTAGATATATTCAAAAACCCACAGTTCTAAAAATCGGTAAAAAAATTTTCAGCTAATGGCTTTTAAATACCTGTCCCTTCATTGTAAAAACTAGAGTAGCACGAGGTAGAGGTTGCCGCCGATTTTTCAACCTCGACCTCGATTTTTCTGACCTCCAGCCTCGGAAAACTCGTCGCAAAGAACCTCAACGAGGGCAGATGCGCGGTTCTCGGCCTCAGTTTTTTCCTAATTATAATATACTTGTTAATCTTAATAAATTAATCTCACGATAATTAACATTTTTAAGATGCCGGTATGCATGACGAAAACAACAAAAGTTTGAAGGGAAAAGAGAAACAGGAGGGCATTGAGACAACGAGTTCTATAGCCAAACCTCCCAGATTTAAAGTTCCAAAACTGATTATACCAATAATCGAAGAATCAGAATTCGAAGGAACAGATTCGAAGGGTAAGGATTCGAAGGATAAGGACACGAAAGATAAGGATTCGAAGGGTAAGGAATCGAAGGGTAAGGATTCGAAGGATAAAGACTCGAAGAATAATGAGCAAACAAGTAAAGCTACACTCAAAGGAAAGTCAACGCATCAACCTCGTCGCGGTAAATTATCCATACTGTTTAATAAGGATTTGGCTGAAACTGAGGAAATTGAAAGCCTTAATCCTGAAACAAAGCTTGAAGAAGTTAAAGTAAAAGACAAAAAACAAAAGGAATTAATGGATGTCGAGAAGGAGGAGATTGAAGCTAAAAAGGATCAGATTTTTGAAGAAGTTGACAACAAACATGAGGAGATTGAACTGGAAATGGAAAAATCAACATCTTCGAGTGCTTTGTCTCACAAAGAAGAGTTAAAGAAAGCCAAAAAGATGATGAACAAGGAGGATATAACTAAATTGGTTTCGACTGCAATTGTTAAAAATCCATCACCGATGATTAAACCGGTGAAGCATGAACCGATAACTGCACTTTAAATTCATTAATTTTTTGTATCGTAGGAAGTAAAATCCCTAACTTTTACACTTTCAGCTAATCTTTTTGTAAACTTCGGATGCTACTATATTCCTTATTCTCTTTATTAAGCCCATCTGTTTATTAAAACACCTGTTTAATATATGTATCCCACCCTTTTAGGATGGTTGAAAAATGGAGCCCCGTGGGGCTCATTATAGGAAATACGGTATATGCTCTGCATACTTCCTTTCTCAGCATAATGCTTCGACATTTCAGAGCATGCTATTGGGTTTTAGAATTCTGTTTCTCTTTTAAAAATTTGCTTTTTTCCTTTTTTCCCACAATTTTTATTGTGGGAAAAATATTTCCCACAATTTTACTGTTTTTGAAGCATGCTTCCTCCTAGAAAAGTTTCTGTAATTTGGAAGAATACTTTCATGTTTTAGAAATTTAAATGACATCTTTCCACTTACGCAAAATATGCTTTTTCAAGACACTGAAGCATGCTTCTTTATTAAAGAAGCATCTCTTGGATTAGAACACGCGTATTTTGTGTGTCTTAGGAGAAGAAACGTATCATGTATTTTGCTGTTTTTCTAAAAATGTAAAATTCTTCTTACTTTTCATTAAAAACCTTTTTTTAATTTAATTCACCTTTTAAATTGGATAAAACTTTTTAAAATTTATTAAATAAATTTGAGTAGAATTGATTTTTAACTTATTATGTTAAATGTTGAAATACCAAGGTGATAGAGAATTTTGAAATGCGTCATGTGATGGTCTATGTTGTATACTCCCATCTGATTGTGTTGAAATACCTCATGTGATGTATTATGTTTAAATAAAAAAAATTCTACGAATTTAAACACAACTATACCCCAATTACCTGTTTTCTGCCTGCATAAGCATCCTTTGACCTCCTTTTATAATTTTTTTGCCCCTGTTGATAAAAAATAGCAGAAAAGTAGAAAATCTCAATAACGTATCTTTAAAAATAACTTTAAATAAGTAAATTTTATGATAAATCCCAAAATTATTGGAGGGAATAGGCAACCACGTTAAAGAAATAAGGGAAACTTTTGTAGCTCAGTCTTTTTCACAATTAGGTTTTACCTGTTATAAAATCTGAACCATGGAGAACACTAAATCGATAAAAATATTTGTATCATAGGAATTAAAGCTGCTACCAGTTTTAGCAGTATATCTTTGTATAAACTTTGGTAATATAACTTGATTTGTATTTAAGAGCATGTTATTGTGCTTTTGAATTGAAAGTTTTTTACAAACTTGCTTATACGCTTTTGATTCATAATAACACGCATGCTCATATTATACCAATTTTTAAATAGAACCCCATGGGATCTATTCTTCGTGAGAAATTGCGTTTCCTGGTTTAAGTTCTACTCTTCTTAAATACAATTCAAAACCAAACACAAACAACTCCAAATTGATATTTATTTAATTAAAAGGAGTCAATAAACTTTAAAAGCGAACTGCAATAGATAAATTCAAAAGGGAAATGAATAACATAAAGAACAAATTAACAAATGAACAGTTTTGAAAAGAATTGATTTCTTAAATAGAAGAGGGCACAAAAGGCACAAAACATAAAATGGGATAAAAAGTCATTTATTTAAATTAAAGTCATTTGAGTCTAGGTATCACCACATTTTAACTATCTTCCAGAATGTGCACTTTTACAGCATAGGGTTCAAATTATAAAAATACAGTGTCTAGGTTACTCAAGTCTTAGAATCTTGTCTTTTTTAAACATGCTTAGTCGATTAATATTTAGAAAATGTCTATATCTTCCTACTTTTCATAATATAAATTTGCGCATTCCCAAACTTTTAAAAAATTTATTTAAATTTAATAAAAATTTTAAAAGTTAATGAATTAATTATTTAAATTGATTTTTACGCTGTTTACACAAGTCATAAGGCAAAATCTTTAACACTCGTGAAGCAAAATCATGAGACTGTCAGGCGCTATACGCTTTAAAATTTATTTTATAATTTATAAAAAGGTTAGAGAAAGAAATTTAGACAAAAAATGTTAGAGAAGGAAAAAACTTTTAAAAAATTATGCTAATTTATACTTAATTATACGACCAGCACCTGAGGAGTAACGGAATCCCGATTTCTGCCTTACAATTTAGACGTATCGTCTTTGTATTGCTAACTCCTTAAGTTTTTCGGCTAACTTTTGTGTAGAATAAAGTTCAGCGGGATCGGTATCCCGGTCGGGATCGGCGGGGTTATCCCGGGTTTTTCCAATCCGATACCGATTTTCAGATCCCGAGACCGAAAGATGAATCCCGATCCCGGTTTGAATGATCATAATACCTAGCCAGGATCGGGATGTGCATCTGATCCCGATGGAAATCCCGATTTTAAAAATTGACTAGAAAATTAGTAATGTCTGTGAAATAAAGTTAAAAGAATGAGGGGAGGATTGAGGGCTTTTTGACATACAAAATTCTCAAAATTTTCTCATGGATTAATAGAAGAAACTCTCTTAATTCCTCAATCTCAGCTCTTAATCGTAACTAAAAAAATACAGTAAATTATGAGGACTTTAAGTATATTTTTTAACTTTTTTAAGACGAATTATCCATTACGAGTATAACAAAAATCAGGAAAGGCAAAGAGAAACTGAAGGGCATTGAGACTTCGAGCTCTATAACCAAGCCTTCATGATTTAAAATTCCAAGACTGATTATACCAAGAAGCGAAAATCAGAATCTTCCGGCTTTGAATGATGCATATTTGTTTGTCTATGGATATAAATTTAGTGTCTTATAACTAGGGCTCGGATTTATATTGAAATAAAATCGCGAAATATGGCCATAAAATATTGAAATAAGTGGGCAAAATATTGACAAAAAATGCCAAAAATTAGTGAAATATTGAAATAAATTATCGTTTATTCACTAGAAACTCCCCAAAAAAGTTGAAATTTAATAAAAAAAAAATGAATCATGCTTTTAAAATTTCACATTAGCTTTATAGCCCGACGAATTGAGTAACTTTACTCTCTTGGACATTTTTCGATTGACAAAATGAGGTTGGGACATTTAGTGGGTTTTGCTCAATGTGCCATTTTTGAGGTTTTGCCCAACAAATTTTGAGGTTTTTGTTAATTGAGAATTTTTTTGTCCTGTTAAGAAGAATGTCTAGGGAATAATTAGTGGGAAGGCAACGGTACTGTAGTGAATAATAGGCCATAACTCTTCCTACTCTTTATAATATAAAATTTGGTCATTCCCAAACTTTTTTAAAAAATTAATTTAATATTTAAATTAAATTAAAATTTTAAAAGTTAGTGAATTAATTATTTAAATTGATTTTTACGCTGTTTACACAAGTCATAAGGCAAAATCTTTAACACTCGTGAAGCAAAATCATGAGACTGTCAGGCGCTAGACACTTGAAAATCTATTTTATAATTTAAAAAAGGTTAGAGAAAGAAATTTAGACAAAAAAGTGTTAGAGAAGGAAAAAACTTTTAAAAAATTATGCTAATTTCTACTTTATTATACGACCAACACCTGAGGAGTGACGGACGTATCTTCTTTGTAGTCTAACTCCTTCGGTTTTTCTGGCTAACTTTATTTAAAATATCAAATAAAAAATTAAAAAATTAAATACAGTAATCTATGAGGACATGACTTGAATTTTCGCTTAAGTGTAAAGTTTCATTTTAATGATTATTAGTCGTTTGATAGCTTATACAGTGCTCCACATAACTATAGTTCCACCACTATTTTCGTGTTTTTCCTTTTAGACCCCAATTTTTTTAAATTATCGTTTAAATATTGTCCTCAGGTACCTAAAAGACTAATAAAAATCAAAATGTAATTTTGGGATTAAAATTACTAGTGTTTTAAATATTTTGTTGGAAAACATCTCCACAACGTAAAACAGGGGTAAGCCTCTTTAAAAAATATTTTCGACCCCGATTGGATTATTTTGAATTTTCATTTTAGGCTCATCGAAAGCCCTTGAAATTTGCTACAAGACAGCAACTACAAAACTCTATAAGTAATGACTCGAGATAAATTATTAGCCGAATAATTTTTAGAAATAATTCAACAAAAAGATAACAAAATAAACGAAAGGATAAACCTTCCAACAAAGGGATAAACATGTTTTAACATTGACTCTTGTTAAATTAATTTTTAAAGTTAATTAGGAGAGATAGTTAGAGAAATTAATTAGGTGTTTAATTATAGAGAATTACTTCTCATTTGAGTGAATGCGCCCTTACATGCTTGCCGTCGAATATTGCTTGACGTTAAGGCATTGCCTGTCAAATCCCTTCCCTCTCCTCTCGGTTGATTGATGGCCAAATGCCTTCCATACGTCTCTATTGATTGATTGCCATGCCTCGCCTCTCGTTTGCGTGATTGCCAAATGCTATCCCTCTCCTCTCTTTTGATTGATTGCGAAATCCCTTCCCTCTCCACTCGATTGATTGATAGACAAATGCCTTCTCTCTCCTCTCGTTTGATTGACTACCAACTGCCTTCCTCTAACTCTCGTCTAAGTGAGTGATTGTTAACTGCCATCCCTCTCCTCTTTTATACACGATTTCCAAATGCCTTCCCTCACGTCTCGACTGATTGCGAACTCCCTTCCCTCTCCACTCGACTGGTTGATAGACAAATACCTTCCTTCTCCTCTCGTTTGATTGACTACCAACTGCCTTCCTCTAACTCTCGTCTGAGGGAGTGATTGCTAACTGCCATCCCTCTCCTCTCGTTTGATTGATTGCCAAATCCCTTCCCTCACCTCTCGTTTGCGCGATTGCCAAATGTTATCCCTCTTCTTTCTTTTGATTGATTGCGAAATCCCTTCCTCTCCGCTCGATTGATTGATAGACAAATGCCTTTTTCTCTCTCACGTTTGATTGATTGCTAACTGCCATCCCTCGCCTCTCGATTGCGTGATTGCCAAATCCCTTCCCTCTCCTCTCGTTTGATTGATTGCCAAATCCCTTCCCTCACCTCTTGTTTGCG